GCCTTCAACTTGTACTACAATTTACTTTGAAATATTTCAGGACATAGAGTTAATTGAAAAACACTTCAGAAAAACAGCAGATCTTATACACTGTTAAAGGTCTGAAGTGGTTAACTAGCACATCTACTATACAGATCAGTAAGTTTTATTTCAAATTAACTTATGTCCTTCAAGTGGTTATGCTCATCGGAAAGCAAGAAAAAATGAAATAACTTATTTAATTGCTACGTTTTTATAACTGTTTAGTGATTGAGTCTTCCATATTATAATTATAAAAATATAAATGTCAAACCCAAAGCATTAATTTTCTGTAACAATCATGCATGAAACAAACTCTCGATACAAATTGTCATGACACAAGCACCATAGTTTTCAGATGACTGGAAAACATATAGCTGTTCATTTTTATGAATAAACTTTAATGCCTCTGATTACTACTTTCTTGTATCATCTTCCAAATGTCCTCAGAATGGCCATTTCTGGTCACTCTTTTTTATCAGGCATTTTTTTACACAAATTGGTCCTTTTTATCGGCATTTGGAAAACTCCAAATCACCCTATTTCTGCTTCTAGCAGCAACTTTATTTAATGCATTTATTGGCCTGGGACCATTCTGCAGTGCTATTCAAATATCTCTCAGCACAATGATATCACACCGTTTGATTTATCCATCACATCTAAGTTGTTTATACTGCTTCCCAACATTGCTGTTCCCTTTGTAGCACATTCACCGGCTTCCCGGTTGAGTTTCTGATTGGTTTGTGGTTAGATTCTAACACACACACACACACACAATTCCTTTCTTTCTTTTTGCAAGCTAAACAAAACAGTAAGCTGTTATGTGCTGCCATCTAGTCAGATTATGCCATAAAACAAATGTTTAATTGAATTCCCATTAACTTGAAGTATTCAGTGCTCTGTAGCCTCTGTGTCAGAAAGCTACATTACGTTTACATTTACAAAAGTCTTTCTCTTTATTTAGATCTGCAAGAGGTTCTACAAAAGCACAGGGACTTCAGGGCAGTCTGCTGAAGACTTCCCCTGAGGTCTTATAATGTGGTACTAAACTTCTTCACCACCTTTCTCATTGGAAATGCGGAGAAGTCCCAGGATGGGCAACAGTAGCTGGGTTTTGTGTCCCAGAATTGTTTTGTAATTACTTGGTGTTGGCATTTAAAAGAAAAGAGTTAAACATTTCAGCACAGTATCTTGCTTAACGTTTGGACCTCTGAATTAAGCAAAACAGTTATTCAGTATTAGTCACAAAGAGGCAATGCAAGTTCCACATAATGTGTAATCCAACAAAAGCATTTAAAAATGTTATTATTCTCAAAACAAATGTGAGAGCAAGCGAATGTCTGTGGGTGGTTTGGTGGGGCTGGGAGTCATGCGCCCTTCTGGAAAAACAACTGCAAAGACATTTCTGACCATTGATGGGTCCATCTCGGGTGTGTGTGTGTGTGTGTGTGTGTGTGTGTGTGTGTGTGTGTGTGTGTTTAAACCACGAAGAGTACATTCTTTTGACCCAGGAGTACACAGAACACACTTTTGAATCCTGGCTACCTAGTCAAAGAGCTCATTTCTGAAGAGGGCACCAAATGACCCTTCCAGATTAATTTCTCGTGGCAACAATAAAGCTGCTGGTTTTGTGTCTTCTCCCACACAGATCCACTAAACTGTGTATGAATGATTCAATACGGGGGAAATGGTATTGGCATGAAGACTACAAACTGTCTTGCTAATTTTTTTTTTAAACAGTGCCACACCACGTCAAAAGAAGTTAATCCATGTAACCACTTTAATCTAATATAATGAGGACCAATGTTTTTTGCTGACCGCCAATCAGGACTAGTAAGCAGGGCCAATTTATATTACAGCCTACTACCTAAGAGAAGCGAGTTGGCTAAAGTATATTTAAAATGTTCTTTGTTCTTAACCAAAGAGTCCTTTCTGTTCCAAATAAACTTCTTAGCTATTCTAACTTCATGCACTCCTTACAGCTGGAAGACATCCTGGCAAATGCCCAGTTTAACCAGCCAAAGGTTGATGGTTTGAATTCACTCAAAAGCACCTCTGATGATCTGCTTACAAAAGGTCACAGATGTGACAACTCAATGAAGCAGTCTCCCTCTGTACCCTGGGGGTTTCTGTGAATCAGGGTGGACACCGGCAAATAACCACAGTGGACTGAGGGGCCGCTCACTCGTTCTCATCAGCCCCACGGCGCTTTCTCATTTCCCTGTGCCAATCACACTGCATACACTGCACCGCGTGGTTTCAAATGAGTCAAGACTGAAGGCCATGGAATGAGGCATTACAAAAAGAAGACGGACCAGAAAGAGATGATAGTAGGCTTTTAAAATTATATAAGCTGTATAAGCAGAAATGTGTTTTATCTAGTCTTCCACTTTGCTCTGTTCATAAACCCAACCCACTGCTGGGTAGTTGATTTAAATTGATAGTACGAAGCTGCTCCACAGGGTTTCTGAGAACATTAATCTCTATAGGAGCAGAGAGCTTTGTCTTTCTTCTGTGGGGCTTCATTTAGGTTTGAACTGCAGACCTTGAGGCCAGCAGCCCAGGGCATAACTCACTGTGCTAAGTAGGTTCCACTACACAAACACCACCTCCCTCCCCTTAAATCAATAGACTGGAGGAATACGTATCATTGCATTGCCATGACTTTAAAGACTGTGATCACCCATTTCCAAGGGGGACTGCTTGGACCAGGATAGTTGCTCCTGAAAGGAATAAGGCCTTGGGAAAGCCTAAGTAGCAATGTGTGGCTGGCAAAAGTACATACACACAAGCAGGAAAATATTTAGAGCAGATACAAAGGTGGGACAAGATTATTCACATAAATAAATGTATTATGTCCAGTCTGACCAGTCTACCAGAAATAGGCCCCCTTCTTGGTCTAATTTATGTATTCTTTGTGGACTTGTGTAGAAAATGGAGGGTTTCATCTCTATGATGTATTAGCAAAAAAAAAACAACAGAAATCCTAAAAGATAATGCTAAAATTAACACGAGTATGAAAGTGTTCTCCCAAGTCATTGGCAAAAGATAAATAATAGGCTTTCACTTAAGAAAGAGTTTGTCTCACTTAAGAGAGACAAATCCATCCCCAAGTCCTCCACTTTGGGATTTTCTAGGTAACAGACACATAAGTCCTAGAAAAACAGGACTATATGTGTGAAATCCTCTTGATAATTTTATTTTAAATATATAATAAAGCTTGTGAGACTAAATCTATACACAGTACCTTATAAGACATTATCAATATTTTGATTTGAATAAAAACAACCAAATGAGTGCCCCTGTAAGAAGCACTGTATGATCTGCTTTTTAAAGAGAAAATCCATACAGAAAATAATTTCTCCTATAAAAGAACACACTGGTTACGTCACCACTTTTCAGAGACACAGAACCAAATTGATGTTGCTCATGAGAGTACACGCGAACCTGAACAGCGCTCACCGGCATCTCTTACAGTTTTCCATTTCAACTATGTATTTTTTTACCACATCACTTCAAATTAACTTAACTTTGATCGTAGATTTTCAAAACCAATTTTAGTTGCTGAAACATCAATGTACTCTTGACGGTTTTCAAAGATTTGATAACAACGATATAGCCATTTATATACACTATCTTGAAAATCTGACTTTGTTGATGTAAAACTTGCTCATTACTTCTATGAACAGATATTGAATTTAATATGTTCTTAATGCATTCTTCGCTCAAGAAGTAACCAGAGTCAAAATATTACTGATTTAGTTTTGCTACTGAACAGATAAGAAATATGTTAGATTTCCTTTATAGATATGCAAATAATAATAATAATGGAGGCAAATAGCAACGCGTTAAATTGTCAATGTGTTTGGTCAGGGGCAGAATCATTGAAATTCTTTAATCCCAGTGCGTGGAATGTGTCTGACACATGTTATTGAGCAAGGAAAATGTATATATTTAATCAATAGATGTTCAGTTACTGTGAGACAATGTTTTTTTTTTCTTTTGAAAGGTTTTAGATCCAAACAGTGTGTAACTAAATGATAAGCAACCATAGGCATCAATAGTGACTGAACCAAACAGCTGCTGAAATCAAGCTCTGTGTCCGGCGTCAATGCCGAAGCATCCTCCCCTTGTCGAACAGGCTAACACGTCTCTGCGGGGTCCCTCCATGCAGGGGCAGAGAGCCTCCCCTTTTCCCCATGGAAGGCTGCTGGTTTTCAGCTCTGCCCTGGTGGTTAGCAGCGCCACGAGGAACTGCACCACTAGGATGCTGACCAATGCCTGTTACTTGTCATATTTTAAATATTCAAGTGATGACCAAATAATAAATATTCAAAATTTTTAGGATGGGAGTCCTCCTGAGTTAGCATCCTATTTTCTTTTAACATATTAATGCCTAAAGAAACATTTTTCTTAAATGAAAAAATCGCACTTACCAAGAATCTACAGAAATCAAAGTAATACTTAATGAAAGCATTCAAATTTGATCCCAAATCCTAAAAATATCAATCGCATCAGTAAAAAGAAGTTTGGCTTTGTGGGTTTAAGAACGGCCGATGCTTTCAATCTACCCATTTCTGAGGAACAAAACTGACGTCTAGCAACCCCCAGTGTTGCTGAAAACAAAACTGGCCACCACCCCATGGGCAAGTGCATTTGCATTCATTGGCAAAGAGGTGTTTCAAGGAGTTTAACATAATTAATGATACCTATTTGGGGGGGAATGCTATTATGTGTCGAAAACACGTGGACTCGCAGGAGGCATATTCAGGTAACTGATCATTCCGTTATCACTGAGCACCTACTGGATGCCCCGCACAGAGTCCGGTGGTAAATTCTGTGTCGCTAGTTTCCATGACAGTTCATCAATCATGCTGTTTGTACTACGTGGTTAACATTTTTGTACTACAACCCAAATGAATCTTGGCCTCTATGCATGATTTATTTAAGAAAGAAGAAGAGTGTGGCCAATTCAGGATTACCTCACATTTATTTAGCAGCCCAGTCTCCTGCAGCCGTGACCAGATGCTCCGTATCCGTCCAGCGTGCTCGGGGTGGGTGGTGGAATTGCCACAGATGCACTGGTGTTTCAGCATCAGAGGGTCATAGGCAATTCCTTCAGGACAAAGGAAACACAAGATTGAGTAGTGATATAAGGTGATAGGCAGTACATATCTGAACACAATACAACTACTTAAAAAAAATGGCACCCTTTAAAAAAATAAGCTTTAGGAACAGAGGACTAAAACATAGCAGCAATTTCTCCAGAGCCCCATGAGCTATGTAGTTCTACGTCTCTGAATATGCATGGGGAAAACATGAGAAAAAACAAAAAGATGGCAACAGTATCAAACCTAGCTTAGTAAGTCTGTTAAGTAATAAAGATGGTGACAACCCACAGAACAGTAACTCTAATCTTCATAGCATTTAAAATTATTATAAAGTATTTTACACAGATTTTTTTTCAGTTCAGTAGAGGTTTAAATTTTATCTTTTAAGCCACAAAACGAACTGACTATTCAAACCTTGAATTAACCTATTGAATAATTTCAGTCTCATTTTCGACCTGGGTCACATCCTTGGTGTAAACTATAGGCTTTCCAATTGCTTATCGATTCTGATTTTCAATTCTTCCAAGGCTGTGTGTAAAGAACTTCTTTGTTCATGTGTGCTTTTCTTATAATGTATACACGTATGTCATTAATATGGACACTGTACATCTTATAGTACTATGGAATTTTTGAAGTATTTCTTTTAAAATGTCTATGATTCATTTGCTAAACTTCTACACATATTACATAAATACTCAATACAAGTTTTTCTTGAATTATCTTAAATTAGTTTTTTTTTTCATTAGACTTTGACATGGGAGAGATTTTATTAAAATCTGATGAAATGAAGCATCAGTGGTGTGTAAAATAAAATTTAAAAAACTTTTAAACAAAACTGTAGATGACAGTTGTAGCCCTAGTCATTTTAAAAAGGTTAACGTCATCAAAAAACCTCCTTGGGGAAAGAAATATGGCTAGCATAAAAGTTATTTAATCAAATCACCTCCAACAAATTACCATCAATTTCCATACTTGTGAGAGGTCAGGATGATTAAGACCTTTCTGGCCTTGGAATATTCATACAAAGTGCTTCATTCATTTAAAAAAGGGGTGGGGCCCTCACAACAACCGGAGAGAGTAGGGTAGAACTTCCCGGGTGGGCTTCTGAGAATATAACTCTTTTTTTTAAAATCATTTTATTGGGGCTCATACAACTCTTATCACAATCCATACATACATCAATTGTGTAAAGCACACTTATACATTTGTTGCCCTCATCATTCCCAAAATTTGCTTTCCGCTTGGGTTCCTGGAATTAGCTCCTCATTTTCCTTTTTCCCCTTCCCCTCCCTCCCCGCTACCCCCTCCCTCACGAACCCTTAATAATTTATAAATTATTATTTTAGCTTATCTTACACGGCCCGGCGTCTCCCTTCACCCACCCTTCTGTTGCCCATCCCCCAGAGAGAAGGTTATATGTAGATCCTTGTGATCGATTTCCCCTTTCTACCCCCCCTTCCCTCCTGGTATCGCCACACTCACTGCTGCTCCTGAGGGGTTCATCTGTCCTAGATTCCTTGTGTTTCCAGTTCCCATCTGTACCGTTGAGAATGTAGCTCTTTACAGTGGACAGCCTACTCTTGAACTTCTGTCCTTAGGGTTAGCAGCCCAAAGCATAACCACTGTGCCACCATTACTCCTATGCTGCTCCATAAAAGGCAGAAAGCCTTCTTTCCTGTTGCCCAGGATGTTAATCCTCACGGAATGATCCTCACATATTCTCCAAGGCTCCGTGTGCACGTTATTTCCTACTACTCGTTCACGTTATTGCTGCTGCTGTGTCCTCGAGTTACCCATATGGAGCCTATCGACAACAAAAGGGAACACAGCCAGGCCCCCACAGACCCTCACCCTTGTCGCTCCTCTTGACCCCGTTTTAGTCACGATGCCAATTAATCTCCACCAGTGTTGCCCTCTTTTTCACCAATCTCCATTTTAAGGAGCATTCTGGTCTTACTTCCTCCATGAAAAAATGCGCTTGTTCTTCTGTTGTTCCATGGTACTTTCAATATTCCGCAACAACACCATAATTCAAATGCATAAATCCCTCCACAGTCTAGCCCTCACCTGCAGATCAGATGGTTGAGAAGACCATGGCTTGGGTCAGGCACCGTTCAGCACCCAGTTTAAAGAGGTCTTGTGCAGCATATCTGTCTGCTGCAATACAATAAATCATTTGATTTCTTGACTTACTTTCACGAGTTTTGTGGATCCAATGAAAACGAAATCTTGACAAATTCAATCTTATTCCATTTGTCATGGTGTCCATTGGTCCAGTTGTGATAATTTCTGCTTTCTTACATTTATTTGTAATCCATATTAATGGCTATAGCCTTTTATCTTCTTCAGATAAGTATTTCAAAGTCCTCTTGGCTTTCAGCATAAGCATTTGTATCATCAGCATAGACCTACCCAACGCCACTGAGTCAGTGCCAACTCACAGCAGCCCTAAATTACAGGGCACCCCCACTGGGGATGCCGGAACAAGCCTGGGGTGCTGAAAAAAACCAACCACCCAGATACCTATACTCTTCCCTGTATTATGGGCTATATAGTAGGTAAGTTTTTAATGGCAAAATGCACTGAATATTTTTTTCTTAAAAGGGATCAAATGCATTTCTGAAACTATCTTACATATATGGCTTTCAGGGCTTTGAAAATACTTCAGGACCAGACAGCCCCATCTTTCTCCATTGGAGTGGCTGGTCGATTTGAACTGTTGACCTCATCGTTAGTCATCCAGGGATTACCCAACAGCCCCACCAGGATCCCTGCATACAGCAGATTGTTAAGGAACCTTCTTCCAATTATTACTTCCATGTGTTTCTTCACATAATCCAGTTTCTTGGATTGCTCATTTGACAGACAGACTGAAGTATTTCCATTATAAAGCTTTCTTGATAAGCTTGATTAGAAAATGTACCATGGACTTCTGATTTTTGTAGTATTACTTCCTTAACATCCTATCTTTTATTTTCCATGTCATTTTTTGTTCCAGTCTTCCAAAAGCCTCTAATATAGGCATTTCTATACTCACAGTTGTATTTCCACATGGAATTTCAGACAAAGAGGAGATGAAGAAATATCTTTAAGCATTAATAATATCTTTAATTCAAATGGCAGGAAAACATGAGGAAAGGCAGAAAATAAATGTCATTGAAGGATAAAAATAAATTTTATCCTTGATAAAATTCCAATTTACCAAGGACTTATGAATTGCTATTATTCTAACAGGGATTAGTTAACACATTTTATATCACAGTTTTATCTTCCATAACACGAAAGATACCTTACTACTACTACTACTAAATGAATACAGAAACAAATAGTATCACATCTGCCTCATTTCGAAGGCGTATTCTCAAAGAGTAGAGTCTATTCATTAAGCTTTCTATTTCCTTTCTTGACATATAGAACATGGCCTCCACAGTAGCTTTCCCTTTTAACAACAATATCTCTATAAAGCACTTTACTAAATCATGAAACAGGTTGTAGTAGCTAGAAATTGTAGTCAGGTATTTGTATATTATAATGTCAAGTCCAGGAATTCTTGAAATAAAGTCTAGAACTCTAAACCTCCCCTGACTTAGCTAAGTGGCCTATCACTGAAGTGACACCAGGTCAAAAGCGAGGTGGTACTTTAACCTCATCCTTCTCTTCCCTGTCTTTCCCTTCTCTGAACAAAACGTCTAAGGTGAGAAATAAGCCTGCCTTTCTCTCTGAATTTCATGTCAAATTATCCTTTCGTCTGATCCACTGGCTACTGTTTCCAATATAAACCATTGATCTGGTCGTTTTCTCCAATTTTTCCTGAATTTTCTATCCTGATCGCTGTGGTTTGGTTTTTAAAAGGTCTCAATTTTAATGTTTTTCTTAGACAATCTTAGACTTTGTGCTTCTAATTGTTTTCTGATTTTCGTTGTTATTAAATGACAATGTATATGACTCAAGTCGTGTTGCTTGACATTTTCCTTAGTGTTAGCTGTGCTGTTGTCATTGAATCCATTTTAAGTCATGGAAACCTGGTGTGCACAACAGAACTGCTTTGTGCAGTTTACAAGATAGAACCTTCCAGAAGCAGATCTCCACGCTTGTTTTCTGAGGGGTCTGCAGGTGGGTTCAAAGTGCTAACCATCCACCTAGTAACTTAACTGCTTGTACCACCAAGGGACTCCTTTATTAATCATTAAATGCGCTAAGTCATCATCAGTGACAGAATCAATTCATGTCTCTAGGTTTGCACTTAGTCTCGTAAGACATTTTTAGACTGAGCCCATCTGGTCTATAATTGGAATTAAGTATACTATTTTCAGACCTGAAACTTTTGATCCTGATTCCCAATTCCTAACATTCCATTTTATTGAATTTCTGGTAGCTGCTGGAGGTTTCAGCCTTCTTAGGTATTTATTTAACAACATTTATTGAACACTTTCCCAAACTTAGGGACTACCAAGAAGGATTCAAATATGGGAGGGCCCAGCACCTTCCCCTAAAAGCTGCATAATTACTAACCCAGAGGGGCTACTCTGAAACAAGGGTCATTTCAAACGGTTTTCAAATCATAACTAAACAGCTCCTGTCACTCGGTTTACTCATCAGTGTCGTGTTCCATCCCTCTAATCTAGTCCTTTTACCACAACTTTGAGTATCATCTTTGCATTCTATCACTAGCAATCTTTTTATATCTTTTAACAGGAACAGTTAAATCAAAGACTCCAACTGTACTCTTTTTTAGATATGTGTGAAACTTCACTTTTTCTATTCAGCAAGTGCTGCACTAACCCCAAATGACTTTTCTCACTAGATTGGAAATACTCTACAATACAAAAAGTCTCCAATTTACTGTGGCGTTCTATTCCCATGTCTGTTGTAAACTAGTTCTGGCATCCGCCAAATACTTCACATTTTGTAAGTTTTCATTTCAAAACATGACAGAATCTTCAAGAGTAAATCATAAAACTGAACACCTGTCAGTGACTATCTGAGACCAATATCAGCAAACCAC